GGCCAGGCCCCCGGGCGCTCGGGCCACGTTGGCGCCGCGCCGCCACCGCCCCGAGCAGCAGGGCCGGGCCCCTTCCACCCCGCCCCCCTAGCCGCCGGCCCGGCCGCGGGCTCCCACTCCCCCGGCCGGGTCCCCGCCCCTCAGCGCCCCGGCGAGACGGCCACTGGCCCCGCGGGTGCGGGGAACCTCCTAGCCCGGCCGCGGCCTCACGCCGACCCCGCGGAGGAGGCAAACTTTCCTTGGGAAATAAAGCCGTTTCCTAGAGCGAGCGCCGGAAGCAGGCTGGGCCACATGACACAATTTCTCTCGACGCCGGAGAAAGGTGCCCACTGGAGCCGCCGCCGGGGATCGCCACCCATCCGCCCGCCCAGGCGCGGGCTGGCCCGTGACCTTGGGTTGGAGGGTGACTTTGCCCGCAGTGGCCGTCACGAAAATGGGGAGAATGACACGCTCCCCACGGTGTGACGCTCCATGAACGTGGGTAGCCGGGGGTCGAGCCCAACACCCCTTGTCAATGCAAACTTAGTATTGGCTGAGATGCTGGGGCTCTCAGGGAAGCAGCCCCCCGTTTTTACCTTCAAAAATGTCTAAGCGGGGATCACACTTAAGACATCCGAGAGAAGGCAAGGAAAACCAAGGTTGGATTCAATATTTAAGCGCATTTATCTTTAATATCCCTTAATATAAATATATAAACGTTAATTATTGTCAAAGCTCAAAAGATTGCTTCCCAGCCAGCTTAATTACCGTTTGCCTAACTCGGCGCAGCATCGCCGGGGTGGATGCGTGGAGCCGGCCCGGGGCAGGACGCAGCAAGAGCATTCCTTCCTCCGCGGCCACGGAGCCAGGGCAGTGCTCCCCGTGCCTGAGGTGTAGTTGGCTAAAGTTAGGGGGTGATTCGGGGAAAATGTGCTAACCATTCCCCCTAAATACTTGCCCAAGGCTTAAACAAGAAGCCGATTCCTTCAGACCTTGAAAAAAGAAAAAAAAAAAAAGGCAACAACTTGACTTGATTCCAATCTGTGCACGATGCGGAGCGTGCGGAGCTGCCCCCGGCGCCTCGCTCTCCTCCCGAGCGCCACACGGGCGGCGGGGCGGGCCGGGGGCGCCCGGCGGCCCTCCCAGCAGCCGGGCCGGGGGGGCCAACGTCGCCTCCACCCCCACCCGGGAGCAGCCGGTAGTGGCCGTTTCCCCGCGCCGCCCCCCTTCCCGCCGGCTTTGGTGTGCGTGAGAAATGTACTGCACATTGCAGATGAACCCTAAAACCGGAGAGCCGAGTCATTTGTTCCCGGAAGTAGACGACGGGCTGAGTGTAACCCGTGCCCCATAGC